AGGTTAATGAAATGGTAATGCACTAATGCTAAAACAAAATGCATCCACAAAAGATAGACTAGCCACTGAACCAAGGGACCTAGCTAGCCTATCACTACCAACAACCAAAACAAGCTAAAACAACAGGGGGGAGAAACAGACAACAATCCAAAAACAAAACCCAAAACACAGCCCCATGATCAAGGCTTAGCCAAAAAATCAGCTTCCAGCCAAGCTGATAAAGCAGTTTGAGCTATTGAGAATTCAGGGAGCCAGTGGTTTTGGAAAAACCATTGGTTGCGGGCCTTCCATATCCACCAAAGGAGGAAGATAGTCAGTTGAAGTCTTCTGTCAGCCATGGCATTTCTCTTGAGTGTGCTTAGCTTGATCCACCAATGTGTAAAATCAGAAGTGTCCTCTTTGATGCCTTCCTAGTCAATAACAGCCAGTTTCCAGACTGTTTGAGATTTAGGACAATGGAACAAAAGGTGTTCAACAGTCTCTGGTTCAGCACCACATATTTTGCACACAGGGTCAATTTCTTTAATTCTCTTGTAGAGATTTAGGTTAACAGGGAGAGTGTGTGTGAAACATCTCCACAAAAAATGTTTGAGTTTCCCTGTGATTTTCATTGACCACATCCTCTTTCTGGCTGATTGCATCCCCTTTGAGATCAAGCTGCATTCTGGAACATCCAGCTTATTCCATTTTTCCTCTACTAGCACTCTGTAAACTTCAGCAACTGATAGATCTCCAGATTTTCAGTGGGCCCAAGTGAGTCTGTCTTCTAGCAGAGGGTCCATTCCTTGGATACTAAGGATGGCAGCACTTTCAGTTGGGGGGAAGCACTGATGGATCAAGTCAACATTCCATCTCCTGCCTGAGTCATCTAACAGCTCATGCACCTTTGATAGGCTGTGCTTCCATGGATTGCAACTATTAGGCTTGTGTGAGGGTAAAGAAGGGATCCAAGGATGGTCCCAGATTAAAATATCAGAGCCTTTGTTCACCTTGTAGAAGACATTATCTTTGAAGAATGCCAAGGTTTTCCTCCAACTTGCCCAGAGCCATGAGGAATTAGTTTGAGCTTTAGCAAGAAGAATGGTTGAATTGGGAAAGTATTTAGCCTTGATGACCT